ATCTTTCTTTCTTACAATATCTTGGGTAACAGAGTTAAATAGTTGAGCTTGACAAATGCAGTCATTACAATTCGTGTGACAATTGAGAAAATGTAATTAAATAATCTGCTCGTCTTCCATATACAAACGGTGAAAATAATGTTACTTCTTCAATGTCTTCATTTTCATTAATAATTAATTAATTATAATAAATAATTAATATTAATTAATGAATTAGCGGAAACTATATTCAATAAAAACTACTTAATTTAAAATAATTATTGACAAAATAATTACAATTTACAATTATTATTTTAATTATTACATACAGTCAAGAAGGCCAAGACCCCCATTTTTTAGATATATTTGAAAAAATATTGTTTTTAAAGATATTTTTTAAAGTAATGCATTACAATATTGTGTTAAAAAATTACTAATTACATAGTTACTTTTTTATGGAAAGTAATGCATTACATTAGTTTTGCATTACTTTTTTGTCACATGAGCACAGCTTGCTTATTTGATTTTTAATAACAAAAAAACTAAAAAGTTATATTTTTGCCAACTGTAAAGGCCCTTTCTCTCAACACGGGGACAGGAAAACAAAGTAACTTGCGTTTCTTATTTGAAAAAGTAATATTTTTGATGTAAATTTAAAAGAAATGCATAACTTTACTACTACTTAGTAAAACTTGAAAAAAATTACTTGGAAAAAAAGTAATCTGATTATGTAACTTTCGTTACTTGTAATGTGTTACCCCCAACACTGAACACATCTAATTGACCTCAGAACAAAACATATGACATTAATGCCTTTAATTCTTTAAAAAAATGCACCACCAAGTATACAGTATTTTAACAATGTGCAAAAAATAATTCCAATTCAAACTGATTAGCAGTTTTCTAAGTTTTATACAGTATCAAGAAGGTCTCTGAATGCAGGGTAACTTGTAGCATTAGCACTTGAAAGCTGCTAAACTTTGCGCTCAAGGGAACATCAGCTGCCGGTCAAACAGGTCGTCTATAAGTCATAAGTTAAGAGGTTATAAGTTGTGGGTCGATTTTAAGTTATGGGAAATTAATTCTATGGCAAAACTGTTTTAATTTGACTCTGTTGGAAGAAAGCCACACTAACATAACATAAAAATGCCATAAAGTGCATGAATACATAATTTTGTGGCACCAAAAGTTCATAAAATTGGTTATGGTAAGTTCCTGCAGTTTTTCTTTTATAGTGAAGAAACATTTTCACATGCTTTTGATTTACGGGCATTCGAGGACACAGGCAATGGGGCGAGAAATCCCACGGAAAGTTACCTACCAACTCCAGCAAACGCAATTGAAGAGAATTGTTGCTATGATGTAACAGTTTTATAAGTCGCCATATATAAGCTCTGGGATCGGAGAGCACTCTGGCACACAACACGGCTGCATCTGGGAACAGTCAGCTTCAGCGGAACTCGTCACTATCATATCCAATCACTTACAATAACACACTTTTCTTACACTTAGACAAAAACCTCCACAGTGTTAATTAGGCAGAATTAAATATGGTTGATTAAATTATAACATAATTCATTCTTATTCTTCAGAAAATAACAAACTGGTAACTTATGAACCAGGGTTTGAAGAGCCATTTAAAGGGGTCCTATTATGCTCTTTTACAAAGTCTTGATTTTGTTTTGGGGGTGTACTAGAACAGGCTGTTATACTAGGTTGGTCGAAAAACACATTATTTTTCACATATTTTACATTATTACAACACCTCTCTCCCCAGTCTGGCATGAACGGCTCGAATAGTTCCTGTATCAAATGAAGGCCCGCCTTCTGAAATACGAAATGTGCTGTGATTGGTTAGCTGGGCCAGTGTGTGTTGTGATTGGAGATCTTTTTTTTATGCTCAAACAGCAACATTACAGACTAACTAAAGTTGAAAAAGTGAAAAAGCATAATAGGACCCCTTTAAAATCCACTCATGATCCCATTTATTACTAATCATCTTGTTGCACGTACTCTAAAACAAACCAAAGGGACACTGAAAGAAAAAAACGTTTATTTTTAATAATATTTCTGGTGAGGCTTAAATATAAAATATAATTTATAATTATATATAATTATTATGTTTAGAAATGTAGAAAATTATTGCGTTATAGAATAATACAATTTAATAGCAATGGATGTTTGAGCTTTGATGGTGATGTGAGAGAGGAAGACAGGAGAGTCTTTTGTGTCGACTGAATGTCATCATGCGGTCACCGTCAGCTGGGCTTCCGTAATCATTATCTCTCCAGACCAAACACACTGCTTCAACCGACTTACTCAACAAATATCTGATTACGTCACACGGGTTCATGTATGAATCACCCACACCTCATATCATATGCCTTCATTTGTTTATACAAAGTACAATTTGCTCTATTAACATATTACACAGATCCCCACACAGTTTCTTATTCACTGCGCTCACATTCAAAAAACAAGATGAGGAATGAAAGAAAAAATCCCCAAACTGAGTGAGAACAGAATGGTATTCTCAAGTGGGAAGCAGGGAATTTTGTCCTTCTATTCCCAACGGATTTCGTGTTCCTGGTCATACGGAGGCCTTTCTTACTGCTGGGTTTCACCTTGACCCCGCAGCGTTGTGTGTGCTGTAAGTGGGCAGCTGCTTGGACTCAGCACTGTTAGAGTGTTGTGTTCACTCAGGTTTTTATACCACCTTCTCCTCTTCCACAGGGGGCAGACAATAAAGATGGGTCTTTATTGAGGAGAACAATGGTGAGGAGCTACAGCAGAAGAGACCTCCAAAGCATGTGGAGTATATGCAGAACTGCAACAGAGGTCAAGTATGCAAATCCCACTAAGTACACACTTTGTCACAGATCAGTATTTCTCAAACTGCTTTCTCCAAATCTGCCAAAATCATACAAAAGTTAACAAAAACATTCTTATGAACAAATATTTTGCTATCATTTAAAGAAATAATTCACCTGAAAATGAAAAATGTGTGGCTGAAAATGTTCTCATGCTCAGGCCATCTAAGATGTAGATGAGTTTGTTTTTTCATCAGATTTGGAGAAATGTAGCATTATATCACTTGCTCACCAGTGGATTCTCTGCAGTGAATGGGTGCCGTCAGAATGGCAGTCCACATCCTGAGTAAATTTTCAGCAAATCTTGCAATTAGTATGATTTTCCCTGCATCCCCAACTTTATTAGAACATATTTGTAACCCAGTTTTGGGTTGCAACCCACCAGTTGGAAACAGCCTTTTAGATATTTTGAATTAGTGCATTTGTCAAATTGATTAAGTTTGTTAAGAAAATAATCAATTATGGTTAAATTCTTGTAAATTCCTGGCTGTAACTATAAACATATTTGGCTGACTTTTTTTCTTCAAAAACAAAATCAAAACAAAAGCACGCACATCGTTGGAAAAACACACAAACAGGGTGCTCGACAAAAAATATTGATCATGAAAAACTGACTTATTTTCTTGCAATTTTGACTTTACATCTCGCAATTTTTTTTGTTTCCATCACAGAATAAAAAATAAAAGTTTCACAATTAAGACTTTTTCTCACAATTGCAAGTTTTATATCACGTAATTCTGGATTTTTTCTTAAAATTGCGAACTGAGAGATATGAACTCAGAATTGTGATCCAAATTGTGAGATAAAATGTTGCAAATACCTTTTTAATTTTTTTTTATCCCATGCCAGAAATGGGCTTCCATAATATTCAGATGAACTCCAGTTTTTCATTATTTTTGCTCAGATTCTAGAAATCTTTACCTTTTTTACCTCCAAACTTCATGTACTTCATGTACATTTCTAAGATTGTTTCTGTCACCGAATAAAAACCAAATTAATTATGACTTTATCTAATGTTTTCCCCTTACATTCTGAGTTTATATTGCAATTACAACATTTTTCTCAGAATACAGAGAAAAAGTCAGAATTGTCAGGGGAAAAAAAAAAGAGATAAAAGTCGTAATTACCTTTTTTATTTTTTCATCCTGTGGAAGCTTCCAAACTAAACTGTACAAAACTCTTTAACTCTAACATTAACTGAATTAATTATTTACAGTATGCAAAAATAAATGATAATGTTGATCATTCATATAAAACTGTTGGGAATCTCTCAACTATGTTACTACAAAAATCAAAGGAAAAGGAAATAACGAAACAGTTTCATATTTTGTAATATTTGTATTTTGTTTCATCGTCACAAAATGGGTACATGGGGAGGAACAAGCCTTTCAAAAGAACCTGAGGTATTTTGCTTCAAGCAGCCTAAGGTATCAAGATTTTCTCTTTAAAAAAAAAAAACCCTATATCAATTAGTTTTGTTGATACAATGCCTATTCACACAACATATAATAATAATAATAATAATTAGTTGCCAACTATTTAACAATTTCAGCAAAAAAGGACAGCCTGCATCTTTTTATTACATGTTTTAAATAATAACAAGGTCTTTAAAAATATAGTACAGAGAAGGTAAAGGAAATACAGGTAAAGTCGTACACAAGGAAAAAAATTACAGCAGCACAAATACAAGATTTGCCATACAGAAAAGCTAACTGAAAAAATACAGACATAAATAAATTGCTGAACTATTTCCCATGGAGAGGGCAATCCCATTCACATTTGCACACGCACACCCTTTCTGTGTTATATTTAACCTTTGGAGCATTCTAGAGATTCTGAGAGACACAGAGAGGATGAAGGGAAAAGGTGAGTGAAGAAGAGAAAGAGGAGAAAATAAATTGGTGCTGAAGAGAGCAAGTGAAGCAAAGGGACAGAAAAAGAGAAAGCTCAGATCTCAGACATGTAGCTGACTCATTAAAAGCTGCCCTGAGAAGAAAGCAAGCAGAATGTATTGTCACCATAGTGCAGATTCTGTTCTCATCAGTTACTGGTCTTTCACATAAAGTTTATGATCCAATAGAAACTAGCGGATCAGCAGACTTAACTCTGTCAGACCATAAGCTAGGTTTAAATGCATCTTGTTGTGTATACTTTTTTTTTGCCAATGAAAAGGTTAGGGGTTTATCTCTTCTCCAAGACGCCAGTCTATATGAGCATCTGCAAAGGGTCCATCTGTCAGTCATTCACAACATCCATCCACACATCCTCCCGCAATCAGACCCAAACAAACAATAAATAATGTCATAAATATGCAGAACAACTGGGGGACACAGACAAACCCCTTTAGAGTCCCTGTCATTTTTTTCCCTTCATTTTGTCTTGTGTGCTTGTTAATACAAAAATCAAATTCATGAAAATCAAAATGAGTCGCTATTCATTTTACAATGCTGGAGTATCATACATATTCTTCTAGATTACTCTAGATTATTCATGCTGGATTAACGTCTTTAATAATTCAAGCCAGCAGGCTGGAGAGACAAACAAAAGCCATTCCAAATGCTTTAGTTTGTGACACACACCGCAGGACATCAATGATTACACATGGTTTTTGGAAAGCGTTGTGGTACCCTTTTAATGAGAACGTCTAAAAACTTCCCTCTTAAAGCAACAGAAAGTGCATTTAAACATCAGATAATTCCTGGTAATAACCGCACTCCCTTATAAAGAAAGAGGAGGACAAAAAAAAGAAGTAAAAACACATATTGCTTGTAGTTGCGTATCGGTTTTGTGAGTGTATTTTTGTAAATCACTTTAAAAAAAGAGATCAACACTGAAAAAGAGGAAAAATAAAAACTCCACAATCTTTATATTATTTCTCATTACCAGAATGAACCAGTAGAATAAATTAAAACCGTAACTAAGAAAATGACAAAAAAAACAAACAAAAAAAACGAGACGTCCATTGAAATCACTGTGTATAGTTCATATACTATTTGTTTGTAATTAAAACAGCAGCCTTGACGCATGCTTAGTGAGAGGAACGTGGGTTGCACAACAGTTCGAGCATCACCACTTGGGCACAGGAGGGGAAGGACAAGACCCTGAAATCTGGGTAACAAAAGAGTGACAGAGAACATTATGGGAAAGAGTCCACAATGCATTTCCTTCATGACATGCCTGATTCCTCCTCCGGGATTCCATGAATGCTGGGATACAGGAGCAGGGTGGACAAGAGCACTGCACAAAGAGGCCTTCATTCAGCCAGTAAAAGCATGTACCACCAAGGCTTAGTCTGTGCTGACTCCTTGTGCTATGTAACTTCACTGAGTCCAGGGCAGCATAATAAAAGAAACAAGAGTGAACATAACAGCCATGCTTGATTCTCAATACACCAAAAGGCTGGTAAAGCTTTTATGAGGAATGTAGGGGGGGGGTTCTGTTTCTAGAGTAAGGAAATGAGGGATTCTGCAACTGCAGTCTCAGCTCGTTGTCATCTGGGGATAGCTATGGCTTAAAAACTGTAGAAAAACAAAGCAAAGTCAATCTCAATCTACGTCCGGTTCCACCGACTTCAAAAGGACAAAAAAAAAAAGTCCCAATTCTGAGAACCGCTCATTATCGACAATCCTATGAACTAATATGAATGTTCCACCGCCTTGGCAGGCCCACTCTTAGTCATCCTTACTCATAAGTGGTGCCTGTCCGTGTGTATGAAAAAGTCCCCAGGGGTGGTCAGGTGATGTCAGGATACTTCGATGATTTCCATGCTTCCAGAGAAGCTGGACTGTTTGCTGATCTTTCCCAGTTCCTCCCTTGAACGTGTCTCCGATATGCCTTCTTCAAACTCCATCTGACAGCTGCGCCGCTTGAACTGCTTATCGGCAGCACTGGAAGTGGGAGCGTCCTCGTGCCAGCTGCCCCTCGAGTCCCGTGGCTCCCCCACTTTCTCCCGCAGACGCACAGCCTCACATGGGCCAGGGAGGCTGCTACAGCCCAGCGCAGGAAAGTGTACCGCCCCTCCTCCACCTCCGTTGCTATTCATTGACTCAGAGCTGTAGAACCAAGGGGCTTCGCCTGTTGGCGTAACAGGGGTTGTGGCCTGTACGGTGTCTCTATGCTTGGTCCACATGGGCCCGGTGCCCACATTGGGAAGGCTGAGCAGCAGGGAGGGCTTCAGATTGTCATCAAGACTGGGACTTTTGTGTGCGGGGAGTGAGTGTCCGAAGTGCGAGTGCACGGGAGAACCTCCAGCACTGCTACCATTGTGCTTGCTTTTCCTCTGCGAACGAGGTCGGGAGCTGCTCTCAGGAAAGAGGCCTGGAGATTCAGCTAAAGCAGGGCTGACAGAAATAGGTGAGTACTGGCAAACACCATTAGCTTCTCCGGCCTCTGGGCTATCCAGCTTGCAGAGTTTGGGAACATCCTCGGTATGTGCAGGCGTGAGACGAGGACAGTGGTTGGGCTCATAGACCGATTTGATGTCAAGTGAGAAAGAGCGTTTGAGCCGGTTGGTGTCTAGGATACGCTCTGCCGACAGATTCAAGCCATTAAAGCCCTGCTGGAGGGAGGAAGGAGAAGGTAGCTTGGTGTCCAAATCTGTGCTGTCCTTCTCAGCCTCCAGACGAGCCTTTTCAGGATCACTAGAAGATTCTCCTCTAGGTTCTGACAATTCCTTCAACTGCTCCAACTTCTCTTGACCCGAGGACAGAGCCTTTAGCAACCTCAGACCTTTCTCGAACTCCAGCAGCTGCCCCAGGAAGTTGAAATTGGGTGATATTGAAGGTCTGCGGTCCTTCACAAACCTGGAAACACAAGAAGAGTAAGAATGATTACCCTAAGGACAAATCCACATATATGGAAAGGAAGACATCTTCAACACAAAGATGCATCATGCGAGCTTGTAAAGGCCTTGAACAAAAATATGTGTTTAGGAAGGCCAAGACAGGTATTGTTTACAAGTTTCTACGTGTTCCATTTTACATGTTGGAGGAAATGGATATAAAATTACAGCTAGCAGAAAATGTCTTTCTGAGACTGTGCAATTCAAGCTGCAGGGTGTCTGAGTGAGTTTACCTGTACGCGTCATCTGATGACAAGCCCATTGTCTTCATGATATAAGCGATGGCGATGGTAGCAGACCTGGAGATGCCAGCTAAACAATGGACAATGACTCGACAGTTGGAAACCTTGGCTTTGTCTGAAAGGGAGAAGGGAAACACGTGAGCAAACACAAAACATGCAAGACAACCAGATAGCCTATCTACAAACATGCTTTGAGGATCAAATTTGTTCTTCCTGATATCATCACAGGGGATGCTACTCACTTTTCATGCTAACGTGAAGTTCACTTGAAGAAAATCAATCAAAGGGAAGGGAAGGGAAACTAAAATCACTTTTCCTATTGTCACAAGTTGGTTCTTACCAATAAACTCGTTGGTTTTGTCTAGCCATGGCAGGAGTTTTTCACAGTAGTTGTCATTGACGGGAATGCGCATGAAATGGCTTTCGGAGATGAACTCTGGCTTTGGGCAGGTGTTGCTTGCATTTAACACATATGTGATGCCGTTTTGAGCCATCAGATCCTGACAGTGCAAAGAACCAAGGCATGAATTATGCAATGTGATTACTCCTGTTTTGGAAGTTTCTAACATTCCAAGACCTTAGTTACAGTCAGTTGTACCTTGTTGAGCACATCTTTTTGAGAGCCCAGGTAGAGATGGGGCAGGATTCGTGTGGGACCAACATTTGCCACAGGCAGACATGGCTGAGACAAGCTCATAGGCAGAGTGGCCACTGGCTTGCCTTCACATAGGCCCGGAAAACAGGATGAGAATGCTGCAAAACCACCTAAAGAAACATAGAGAATAAGAGAGATTCTGTTAGGAACAAAACGACCCCCTACCTATGTGATAGAAGAAAGACAAGACCAACAAGAGTGCTGGAGTTGGCGACTGTCAACATCGTCATTGTTGTAACATAAGTCATTATGTAAAGGATGCAACTCAAATTCTCTCAAGCAGGACAAAGTGTTAACAAAGAGGCACCAACCTATAATAATAAGAGGCATATTTCAAGTCAAAATCTTTCATACTAACAAAGGATATGCTGATGTCACACATCATTTGTCAAACTCAAGCAAGAGAGGATTCAGATACAAACACAACAGTCAAGCAAAGGCCAGTTGGCCTAAAGAAGGATTCTGTCTGTTTAAGAGGCGGGTGGCTCCAGTTTTGGCATTCGTCTGTTGGAGCTCCTTTTCCTGAATGACCTAATATCCTCAACTGAACAATTGCGTCAGGCTTAGAGAATGAGGGTGGTCACAGGTGCAGACCAAGCCCTTGATTCATAGCTCTAAGGGTGTTGGGTGTCTGGACAGCAACACACATACAAATGCAAGGTAAAAATCTGCAAATGCATTCACATGTGCATCTACAAGCAGCTGAACTAGAATTCATTATTAGAACAGGGAAAGATGGAAAAGTGGAATGGGATTGCAGAGGAAGAAAGTAAAATCTTCACTGAGCTGTGCAATGCTGCCAGAAAGCGTGAGCCCCGGCAGATGGGATTAGACCTTAATCTCAGATGAGCTCCATGAGAATCTGGGACATGGTAACCCTGGGAGCATGCACACACAGCAGTCAACCAGGGAGCCATGAAATCATTTCATCCCAGCCAAGAAACAGTGCAATAGTGCAAACAAAAGTGACTGTGTTAAACAGATCTGGGTGGGAGGAGTTAAAACAAACAAGTCAATGAAATGAGTCATGGCAAATAAAGAGTGAGGTGATAAGAAGGTTTACAACAAAGAGAAACGACAGCCATGTTCAACGTTATCGCATGAAATCAACCAGAGTCTATATAAAGGGTGACAAATCGTACATCAATTAACCGTGAACTTTAAAAGCCACCTGCTTTGCCCTAACTGACAACAAGGAACACCTGTCCCTCTCATCCATGTGCAAATCACCATCTAAACTGCTCCGGGTGTGTGTTCACGGTGTGTGTGTGTTCACTGCTGTGTGTGTGCACTTTGGATGGATAAATGCAGAGCACTAATTCCTAGTATGGGTCACCATACTTGGCCACATGTCACTTCACTTCACTTCACTTCACTTCACTAAACAACTCATGTTTGTTTGGGGGTGCCTGGTCCTTTTAAGAGCTTGAGCGACAACCTGTCTGTTTCCTGCTATTAATGGCAATGGCCTGTACAATGACATCATCTCTCAGAACAGAAGACTGAGAGATGATTTGCATGTCACTCAAGCAGAACCAACGGGCCCCTGGTGCCTCCTCCATACGCTCTCGAAACCAGCGGTAGATGAATGACTGCCGACCAAATGTTCTACGACCCCCATACTGGTTCAAATACACCCTTCCCCCCAAACCACACACACACACACAAATGCATTCAAACACATTGATACAACCATCAGATCCTGGATGTCTGTTCCCCATCCCCCAACTATAACTCCCCTCACCGGCCTAGTGACATAACTGCCTAAAAAGGCTTAGTCATTATGTCAACACTGTCAGCAGTACCCAAGTAAGACTCCAAATTTTGCCTGGTTAAAGCTTGTTAAAACAGACTTCCTTTCCCAAAACAGGGAAGCAATGCTGACCTCCCATCCCTCTTCCTTCAACTCAAAGGTCAAGGATTTCAAAGGGCATCTGGGATCTGTGAAAGCAAGACTACAGCTCAAAAGGCAAGTGGACAAGATCTCTTTTGGAAGTGATCTTTCATCTCCTCAAGGATCTGGAATATTGTCCTGTTTCGAAGATCTACAGGGGTGCTTTATATAGCTTCCTACGTGTTACTGGACCACAGCAACACAAACAGGAACAAGTACAGCACCACATTGTTGAAAAGCCAGGAGAGGAAATACTTGAGTGAGGTCATCAGCTATCATTTCTAACTGGGCGGTGGTGGTGACAGTTAGGATTACAAGGAAACCATAAGCTTCCGTATCTGTCTTAACATCTTGCTAATGTTGAATCAAAGAATGCCTACTTTTACTTATGCCGCAAAAATATGAACAATTATTTGCACCATAAGCAGTCAAGTTAAGAAGTGTTTCAAATACACATTTAAAAGAAATTAATGTTCTCACTAGAGCAAATAGGACTCTCCGAAGTGCTCTGTACAATCGAATAAATATACATATGCACAATGCACAGAAGCACACTAACAATTACAATCACGACTGATTTAGGCAACATTTGTCACTTTTATAGACTCCAGTTACGAAAGAGGGCAGTGGTGACGTTTCTCGAACCCACTAGGCATATGAGTGCATGTGTGTTTTCAGCAAGAGAAGTGTGCCAGGGTCAATCTCACGCTGGATGAAAAGGCAATGTGCCACTCGAACACTTTCTTTATGTTTTTTTTTTCTCTCTCTCTCTCTCTCTCTCTCTCTCTCTCTCCAAAGCTTACATAACCTCCATTCACCATCCAACTTCTCTGACGTGCCTCAGACCTCAGTTCCTCAGAAAAGTGTAATAACCTTTCTTGTACAGAGGAACAATAACATCATGGAAGAATTTATGTGGAATTGCAGGGTGAATAGCTTGTGCAGAGCCTACAATGCTCGGGTCACCACAGACTTGTGTGATACTTACCTAAATTCTACTGCAGCCCCTACTGTGCAACAAAGGAGACGAGGTAACAAGGTTACATTTTTCAGATATGGCAATGAACTCTCAAGCTGCATTTGTATTTAATAACACAGAGTGCACAGTTCATTAACTCCAGCCTTTGATAATCAGTTCATTGTCCTGCGGCACCTGACCTCCATCTTTAGGAGCCCCTCAGTTTTTCATCTTTTCAGCTGAGCTCTATAGCCACTCTCACACAGGCTTCCATTCAAGGCTCTGCATCCAGCAGCATTGATGGACCACTGAATGAAACTAATGCACATCAACACACACGCACGCACACACACACGCACACACACACACACACACACACACACACAAAAGTCTCCAGATGCAGAAGACATGACGCCATTGAGGAGCAGCCCCCATCTGTCCCAATCTCTGCACACACACACACACACACACACACACACACACACACACACACACACACACACACACAC